GGCGGGCGGGCGGGCGGGCACGCAGGGAGCGGCGGGCGGGCGGGGCAGAGCGGGCGGGCGGGGTGATCGGGGGAATCGTGTCCACAATCAGCAGCAGCGGAGCAGCAGCAGCAGCAGCAGCTGCTGTAGCAGCACGCAGCTGCCTGCCGCAGATTGCTGCCGTTGTCGGCGCCGCGATCCGCCGCCGCGCCGCCGCGCCGCCGCCGCCTGCGCTCGCCGCCGCCTCGTAGACGACTCCTCTCGCGCTCGAGGAGCCGCGCAGCGCAGCGGGTTGAGGTCAAAACGCAGCAGGATGGCGAGGTCATGAAATCATCAAATTTTGAACTTGCCCGAGACAGCCCGGAAACGGTCCCGAGCCGTAGCCCCGGTGTCGGCGCATCGCATCTCGGCCGCGAAGGGCCGGCTCCGCCGCTCAGTCGAGCAGCAGGAGCTCTGGGGCAGGTTTGTCGACAAAGTGGTCGAGCAAAAAATCGGCGAGGAAGCTGCACCGGCGGCACGCCGGGACGAATCCGGACCAATCGCATTGTTCGGCACCGCGGCGGCGAGCCGCCGCGAGCCCACAGGAGAGCCGGGCGCCGCGGCACCATTCCGTGCCGCCAGCGAGGCGAGAGCAGCAGCCGACCTCGACCGACCGGCCGTGACATGGCAGTTGCAACTGCCTCCGTCTTCGATGTAATGAGGCGGACATGGCATATCGCTCTCGGGCCCACAGACATCCCTTTTCTTTTTCCCACCGTGTCGTAAATCTTCTAGCTAAATCGCCGAGACGCGACAAACAAACACGAGAATATACTGCGCACCTCTTGGTTGGCCCAACCAGCGTTCCAGTGCGATGGCGTCGAACGGCCCTACCGTAGCGGGCTAGCGGGCCCCTAGGCCATCTCTGCGCCGTTGAGCGAGACGTTTGCCTCGAGGCCGCCCTCCTTGACGGCCTCCGCGTAGAGCGAGAGGAAGTCGGCGAGGAGAGCGACGAGCACAAAGTCGCCGAGCATCAGCAGCCTGCGCCATGGCACGCACCAAGTCGGGGGCGCGAGCGCGGGCGGGGCGCAGCGTCCCCGGAGCACCGCGTGAAAAGGCGGCGAGTGGCAGAGGGCTGCCGGCGAGTCGGGTGGAGTGCGCGCCCTCTCGAGTGGCGGTCGGAGAGGGTGGGGCATCTAGGGGGGCCAGCAGCATGTGGAACTCCCCTTCGAGCATCAGCAGCAGCCACATCAGCACCCGAGGCAGGCGACGGCGTGCGCGATTACCTGGGTGCACGATGAGAACGTGCGCGCCTTCGAGAGCAGATTTGGCAAGACCGATCGGCGACCCGTCTAGCGCTACGTACTCGCGTCGCCGCGCAGCCACTGTAGCACGCGTGCTTTGCACCGTCGCGGAGGATGCAGGTGCGGGGCGCGATCCGAGCGCGGTTGAGTGGCTGTGTTGCCCTTGAGCTAGTCCTTCCCCGGTCGCCTAGCCTCTGCGCTGTCTGGCGAACGCCTGTATGCCATGCGCGCGGACCACGCTTGCGTGGGACGACATACGTGGCTGGCAGGCTGACCCGTGTGCGGGGTGTAACCTGCGCACGGGGAAGCTTCACGGGTTCGAGTCGTCAACATTAAGCAGCAGAGGTGTGCCGAGGGGGGCCGGGAGGTAAGCCGTCGTCGCCCGGCGCTGCTTGCAGCACCATGGCGATGGCGCTTAGAGGTTCCTCTTTTCCGCGCCCCCCCCCCGCAAGGCGCGCGATACACAATCACAAAAATGGCTGCGCAGCAACGAATTCTTTTCTGTGTCGCGGTGTTGTGTGGCGAGCGAGTTTCGGAGTAAAATCAACCTCTAAAAAAAAATTCTGAGGACTGAGCGCAGCGCGATGATATACGGCCTGCCCAGACCCCCACAGCGAGCGCGGCTCCCCTCCCCTCGCTCGCAACACACTCTAGCCCCCCGGGAGCACCTCGAGCAGCCACCCCTCGTTGAAGCCGGCGCCACGCGGCTGCACTGGCAGGGCCTCGGTGACAATGACGCCCTCGGTGCGGACGGAATCGTCGACGCGCCACTCGCCAGCGGGTTGGAAGCCCTCGATGGCGGCGGCGCGCAATATCAGCCTGGCCGTCCCGCCCCAGCCCAGCACGGCCAGCGCGGCCAGGTCGAAGGTGAGGCTCGTCGTGATGTGCTCGTCGGCCCACGAGGCGATGGCGATGGCCGCGCGCCCCGAAGTGGGCGAGAGGAAGAGCGTCGCCCGCACGGCGCTGTTCGAGGCGCGGACGGGGCAGCCAGCCCCGTCCCACCGAATGCCATTAATCATCGGTTTGGGGCGGCGGCCCGCGCGCAGGCCGAGCGAGTCGAAGGCGCGGTAGAGTGGCCTCGGGTTGCAGGTGTGGGGGTCGGGGAAGATGCGGCACGTCATCCCAAAGACGAGCCCGTGCCACTGTTGCGTTGTTTGAGCAGTGCGGCAGCCAAAGGGATGCCCGATACCTCGGACCACTGCTCGGGCTTACGTCGCGTA